AACGATAAAAGAAAAGACACAGATATATACGAGCTACTGATTCAAAACTTGAAGCAAAGAAAGCTTACTTCTTCCTTGTTGCCCCATCCAGAGTAGCAAACATAATATCCATTTGGAGAATGAGCCTCAATTGTTGCATCATACCTGAATAATTCAACTAAATCAACCATAAAGAAAAGGTAAAGAACCTTAAAAAAATAAGAATTGTACTAACACATGTAGATATAACATTTTACATACCACTCTCCGTCTTCACTCCAGACTGCTTGAACTTTGGTTCCAACGGGAAGCTTATCACCATAATTAGAACTCGACCTCGCATTCTGGACAAAAGTATTTCCATAGCATGGATTATTATATTAATCATAGTAAATATTGAACAGACAACATACATGCATGCACAAATGCACATATTGATGGCTAAATCCATACTCGTCCACTAACATTAAAGATAAAAAAAAAAAATCCACTTTATATGTTAATAGAAACTGTTAAATAAAACAGCAGCAGCAGATCTTTTAGACAGGGAGCGGGAATAAAGATAAAATTAGACGAGTGAGACCATGGCCTTTATGCAGCCATTATAACCTGACTTTTCCACTACCACAAATTAGCAGCAGAGCTTTCATCAATATAGGATCTCATGTCAAATGAAGCATCTGAGCCTAACACGAAAAAAAATTCAACTGGCTAGCTACTAACGGGCGTACTATTGAGTATTGACATCCATGACACAACACACAATGCCTCTTTCTTGAAAGCACAAATTGTATTAAAAATGGAACAGAATAAACTTGAACAACAAAACAAATTGTTTTCATAAGTTCAGGTAACACACCGCATGCAATGAGCTCTCAGAAACATGAGGATTTAGAGATGCTTCATTGCTGGTGCCAGCACCAGGCACAGAACTGCCATCATTTTGTTTCGCAGTTGTCAGAAGTTCCTCTGTCAATGCAATCACCTGAAGCCAGAAATAAGCCGAAATTATAGCAGATACATGATTCCAAACATTTACTAAAAGACAAAGAGAAAAAATATGTGTGTATATATATGAACTTCAATCCAGGGTGACATCCAAAATTATTGAGACAGAGCAGACTGGCCACCAGGTGATACCACACCTGCAATAGAACCAAACAATAGTGATGGGCACTTTGGAAAACTCCTACACTCCATTATCTTTTGAAATCCTGAGACTTCCACACACCATGTGTATTTTTCTAGACAAGATAAAACACCCTCACCTTAACAACCCAAAAGAGTGAAAACATCTTTCTTCTGTCACAGGTGGTCCTTGAACTGCTTGTTTGAGCAATATATTTGAGAAAGAGAAATAGAGATTGCAAATAAACTAAAAAAGTGACATTTAATACTATATTTTGATTTATTAAAATGATTACTGAGTTCTGATGATATTGAACTAGCAATCTGATGACAACAGTAATAACCAACAGTGCTAGCAGACGGAAATTTGAGGAACTTTAAGTGTGCATTTAATAGAACACCCTGAAGTCCAAGGAAAAATGAGCAAAATGGATCACCTCCACAAGTTCCTTCTCCATGTCCAAAAATTCAGAGTTATTTGGGTCATCCTTCAATAATTTGCGAACCTGATCCAGCAGAAGGAAAATATCAAATCAAAATGAATATATGGGCTTATAGCATGAATATGCAGAACATACTAATAAACCAAAGGTCCAGATGCTGTAAAAGAGAAGCAACTTAATACATGGCATGACAAAAATCTTTCACTACAAAGATACAAACAAGCAAACACAAGATAGATATCAGATAACAAACAGCTCCTCAGGAACACGCAACTGGACGACAAATTTATCTAAACGCTTCTGCTGTTACATTCATTTGATACCAATAAGAGAAGGCTAATTGTAGTTTGTCACAAAACAACAAACAAATTTTTCTACATTAAAAATTCATATTTTCAGGTGAAATTATCATTATTGCAACTCGCAGTCTTGGAATATGTAATATCAATTATTTGAAAAGCCTCACCTATATCCCCAACTCCAAGGATTCAGATTTTGAGCAAACAAATCAATGACTACGTCATAGACCCGTATTACAATACTCAAAACTCAAAAGAAGCACCACACATGCCGGCATCATTCATCAAGGGTTTTCGCAACGAAACAATATATGCTAAATTAGTTATACGAAAATAAGTTGTGAGGTACGGTGAAAGTAGGAAGCGTGCTTTCTAATACACAAACAAACCCCAATTCTTACAACTCCAATGATTAATCTTCACTATCGACAATTTGCATTCACAACAAACAAATTACTACCTAATTGATAAAAGTTAACTCCTTTCCAGCGAATACTGTACAGATTAATCAAATAGAGGCAAAGAATAAGACCACGAACAAAGGAAACACGAAAAACACCTGTTGGAGCTGGTCCTTGTAAGTAAAGAGGTTGCTCGCGAGTTCTTCAACGTTTACCTCTTCGCCTTCGCCGATTTCCATTTGTCTTTTCAATAATTATGCTTCAATAATCGAATTCAGATATGTTAAATTGAATTTATCAGCTAGGTTCAGTTAGAGAAGAACAGAAGAAGCGAAAGGGCAAAACTTAAAACCCTCGAAAGAGAAATTGGATTTCAATTCACAAACCCGTTATTAGAATTTAGATTCGAATCGTCTCCAAATCTGCATAGTTTATTCGTTTTTTATTATTATTTTCATTATTTTAAATTAATTTTATATTAATTTAAGTAAGTATATTTTTTGTATATTGATTCATTCAAATTGTCAATATATGTTTAGAACACATTATTAAATATAAATATATTTATATCAAATATTATTTTAATTAAATACAAGTATATTTATATCAATATTATTTTATTTACTTTAACATTAATATATTTACTAAAACATTAAAGTGAAATCTTAATTTTTCTTTTCTATATTAAAGTTTATAATGAATATTTTGTTATTTTTTATGATAATTTAATCTTATATTGAAAAAATTATATATAAGAACATGTATAGTTGTAATATAGAGATTTAATGATATCAACAAAAATTGGTAGTAATATTTCAAATAATAAGCATATGTGATATCCATTCTTTATTAATGTATAGTTTCTCGAGCCTATTTGTCGATTTTTAGTATTTTATAATCCTATATGTAGAATTATGGTGCTTGAGAGTATTCGTGTAAATCTGAAATTCTATTTATGTATATTAGGACATTTAAAATTATAAAACACTCAACTAACTTAATTGTATATTTTAAAAACCTATATCTTTTGCATTTGTTATGAGTTTTTCATATATGGTATATTAAATTAAACATCTCTTGAAGATTGTCGATTTGACATTCGTATTGCATATATAAAGTAAATAGTTATATTTATATTTACAATATAAGCTAAGTTATCTAATAATATCAATTGAAAAATAATAAAACTATATACCACTTAAGTAATTTATCTATAAAATTATTATATTATATGAGTTAGAAAGTTTATATAATTTAAGACGTGTAAGTTGTACGGTTGTCGTTTCAAGTAAAAATAATAATATAATATTTCAAAAGTATTTTATATATTAAATCAAGTCTTCCTTAAAAAAAGCAAATATAATTCTTTACTAGCACCCGTGTAATACACGAACATTCTACTAGTACAAAATTAAAAATAAAATTTTATAGATAAATTTTTTTACTAGCACCCGACCTAGTTCCCAATACCAAAGATGTTTTTTATCCAATTATGTGAAAAAATGTGAGATATACTGCACATTGTTTGCAGTTTTATGAAATCGGTTACCTATATTTATTTTTTCATTCTATTATGTGATCATTATGCGAAATTTCACGTAGTGTTCGGAGTTCTGTAAAATATTATGTGATTTGTCGCAATTTATTTGCAGTTCTGCGAAATGCTTTTCATCCGCTTTACAATTAAAAACTCCAATGAAGTACACATCCAAATTACATTATATAACGTCTTCATCTTCATCTAAACTATCATGGAATTGACGTGATGAATAAGATGACGAATTGTGAACTGTTGGTTTACATAGACGACACCTCCGCGGTTTGATCAACGCCCCGAGGAGATGAACTAGGGCCTGGTCCATTATGTTTAAATGAACTAGGGCTTGCTGGAAAAGAGTTGCATGTTGGATATGGATATGGGGAATTGTGGGATGTATAACTACCAATACCAAAATAATTCAGAAATACACCATGGGATATCATCATTTGCGTGAGGCTTTGTTCCTCAGTCCTTGGAATCAATAACATGCATAAAACTATATATTCATGCATATATAAGTTATCTAATAATATTAATTGAAAAATAATAAAACTATATTTATCTATACATCAATAACATCATTATATCCATGCATATATTCCTTTTCTTCTTTTCCTTGAACAAGCCAAGAAGGGATAAATACCTCTGCTCTTTTGTTTCATGCACATCTCATGGCCTCCACTCTTATTGCCCGATCTGAAAAAAGAGCTCGAATCAACGTACGAGTAGTTTTCTATACACACCGGGCGCCTTAACAAGTCATCATTCGACTCCCATTTGGGGATCCCTCGACACCACCACCCTTCGTTTCCTCTTGAGCATGTTCTTCATCTCTTCCTCCTTCTCGTCCACAAATGACAAGAATCCCTTGATCTGCATGGATATCGAGCTCCTGCTGCTAGGTGCGGAAGGTTCGGATATGTAGCGCTTGAATTTGTGGACCATTGAGCAGAAATAAACCAATAGTGCCAAAAAGCATGCCACCCCACATGTAAGGAAGAGCCCCCAGAAGCTCTTGAGCTGAAGCTGCTCTGAGTCCTCGTCTGAGCCTTGTTGGGGGCAGCTTCTTGAGCTTAACCACTTTTTCCTTAACTCTTGGAGCTTTCCAGTTTCGGATAGGGTTAAGATGGCAGTCGATAAGTCCGTAGCGAGTTGAGAATCTCTTGGGAATGCCTAATGATACATAAATGTATAATAACGATTATATTCATGAATTCAAACAAAAGAGTAAAAAAATCGAGTTTTTTTTACATACATGTAAAAAAAATTGTGTTTATTGTAGTGTTGTGTCGTTTGACTTGTTTTTCTAGCGATTGCTAGTTTAGGATTTAGGCGATCTTCAGATTATCCTCCCAGTTGGTTGGTTGTACTTATCAGCTGTTGGCTGCTTTCTTTTCGCACTTTGTGCGGTTTTAGTTATATACTACCTCCGGGGAAAAAAAAAAGAGAGAGAGAGAGAGAGAATATATACTCACGAATCCCCAACCACTCTTGGTGAACTCGCGCCCGACGACTTGAAACATGCAATAATTCGAAAGAAATAAATCGACGTACGGACGTTCGTCGACAATGGCAGCAACTCTCCCTTTGTCAAGAGCATCTGCATAGGCTTCAGGGGAGTCGAGCGGGACAAGCCTTGACCTGGCGATGTTGAGCTCGTCCGCCAAATAACTCTCGGCAAAAGAGCCGACTTGAAAACCTACACGGCCATTGCTCGAGATCAATGAGTCGATCCCCTGAATGGACGGAGACAAATGCTGGATGGTGAGGATTGAGGTTAAGCTGGCTGTGTAGCTTGATGTGATTATAAGGACCACGAAAAGCCAGATGATTAGGACCATTCGCCCGAGTGTGCTCATAGTTTTTTCTCCTGAATATTATTATTTTGTTGTTGTTATTAGTTTTTTTTTTTTTCGGAAAAGGAAAATCTGAAGTGGAAATGGATTTGTAGTTATGGAAAAAAGATAGGAAGTTGAGTGGTGGATGCTCACTGTGTGCAAAGAACATAGTTGAGAAGCCAAACCTGCAAGTTGTGAAGTAGTAGAGTTAATTAAATATAAGCTTTCAGATGAATCTGCAAAAATATAAGCTGTAAATTGAATAATTGTGTCATGAATAAGTTGCAGAAGTGCTTCATTTGGGTGTTATATATTATTCCAACCAAAACATTACAAAAAAGGATGAAAGAAATTTAAAAATTAAAAGCACCTCCTCCTACTGTTATGTTTTCATTAAATTTACAGAGAATGAGGAGCAGAAATTATAATATGATATAAAACTTACCATAACATTGTGATCAATTGTTTCTTAGGCGGGCCGCGAAAATCGTCGTTTATCCTATGCTCCAAGATCCAAACTACAACCCCAACAACGAGGAATAGAATGCCTGTGACGGCCCACATCAGAGGATTAAATGGTCGCATAAAAGCCCACGCGCTCGAGTCCAACTTTCTCATAGGCGTAACCACCACTAGGCCCGACTCTATATACGGCTGAGTAAAATCCACAATCTTCGTTCGCTCGGTCACAATCGCAATATCCCCAACAACCGCATCAAAAACCTACACATCGCAAAAAAAAAAAATCCTATCTATTATCACTACTATGAGAAATGTTATATTGTATATAGGGGTGTACATAACACTTACATTGAGTGGGACCGACCAAAAATAAAAAATCAAGTGGATTTCAATCCATGTGAGTGTTATGTACACCTCTATGTACATTTATTATGTACATGTAGCATTTTTCAAGCATCAAAGCCACTCACATTGGAAGTGATCATGGTCACGAGCTGGCCGTAACTCGGATTATGGTGCTTATCTCCGAACAAAACGAACGTATGAGGCACGGCATAAGGAAGCAAGTTTACGGCCGCGAGGAATATATCAACACAATACCCGCGAATCTCGTGGGTATTTTCGTCTTTCGACACGAACGCTCTGAAACTGACCCTGTCAGGAACTCCGATCCTCAACTTCCTCCCGTTGTTCGGGAAAACCCACCCCCTCGGTTTGATCGTCGTTTGACCAGGCCACACAATTTCCCCCAACATCTGGCTCGAGCTCGACATATTAGCCCTCTCACCATACAAAACCTCCGGGGGCAAAACCGAGAGTCCGGAATAGTTTGACCAGTATCCAACCAGCTTGTAACCTTTTCCAACCACATTTAAAATATCGAAAGCCGGACGAACCACGGATTTATCCGGATCGAACGCGACCCGACTCGTCAAACCCGTCCTATCCGTTTTAAGTATATCCTCGAGAAAATCACTCCCTTCATCAAATCTACTCAAGGCACCAAGATTCAACTTCCGACTCTCCGAAAAACCGGGCCTTATTCTCGTGAACGAGATATTCCCCCCACGCTCGAGAAAAGCTCTAACCGCACACGCGACAGTCCAAACCGTGTCGTAAGCGTAGAAACCGTACGTGGTCAGCCCGACCGACCCGTTGCTCAATTTTCCCCATCTGGACGAAAACGCCCTTTTCCTTTCGGAATCCGGCGTGTGTGGCCGCAGGGCAATAATCCCCTGCATTTCACCCGAGTGACTATCCCCGAAACCGGGGTCCGACTCGATCACGGTGGAGAGCCAGGCTGTCGCGATCCAAACATAGCCTCGTGACATCATATTCATCTCGCGGGCCAGGCTCAGGACTCGGAGCCCGATTACAGCGTACGAGTGGACCACGATCACCCGTGACTCGGCCATCGAGACTTTCGCGAGCTCGGTTATTATCTCGGAATTATTCGCAAGGGTTTCGGGCGAGAGCACGGTTTTGTGGGAGATTTGGCAGCGCCTTTTGGATAACTCGTCGCCTAACGCTGACATGGCGCCTCGGCTCTGATCGTCGTCCGTGTAGATGGCTGTGACTTCCTTGTAACCCCAGAAACTAATGAGTTGAGCTATGGCTGACATCTGGTAGAGGTCGTTAGGGGCTGTTTGGATGAAGTAAGGGTACTGAAGGGAGGAGAGTGTGGGATCGAGGGCTGTGAAGGATAGCATGGGGATTTGGAGCTCGTTTGCCAGGTGGGATAGGATGTGGGCCGTGCCCGAGACTTGGGGCCCGATTATTGCCACGGTGTCCATCTCCATGAACCGCAATCCTGTGTTTGGTTTGAAGGTAGGAAAAAAATTTATGGCTAAATTGTATTTTTAATCCTGGTTTAACGCAATAGCAATTTTAATCTTAAGATTCTAACATTTCGTCTTTTAGTCCTGTGATTTAATATTTTGTTGTAATTTCAGTTTTTCTAAGGACTGAAATTGCAACAAATTCCCAAATTTGTAAATTTTTTCTTAGCAATTTCAGTCTTGTAATAATAATTTTTGTGGCAGTTTCAGTCCAATAAATTAAAGTTTTGCTGCAATTTCAGTACTGAATTGCAGCAAAATATTAAATTAGAGGACTAAAAAGCGAAAAGTTGAAACCTTAATACTAAAATTGCTATGCTGTTATATGAAGAAGACTAAAAAAGCAATTTTGCCAAAATTAATATATGTGAACATAAACATACCTCCGATAATGCTAAGAAAGCCACTGTAATTTGAGTCGTGTGTGGAGAGGTTTAACTTTCTGCCACCAAGGAATTTGGGATCAGAGTTCACGTCTTCGACTGCAGCATTCATGGCGATTTTCGCAACCTTGCCGTTGATTGTGCTTAATACGAAAATGGCACCAATGTTCACGACATCCGGAGCTGTGGAATCGTTTTTTGCTGAAAACACACCGTTGAATGGAAGAAAAGATGAAAGCAAGAAGGACATTATGCGAAAATCCATGGCTGATGGAGAAAACTTGTGCAAAATGCAATAACAAAAGATCTTCAAGCCTAAAAGAAAAGCTCAAGAAACACTTTTTGAGAATACTTATTGAAGAAGAATGTATCTTATTTAAGTTTACAATCTTGAGACAAGGGCTATAGCAAATTTAAAAGAAGATTGCCACGTAACAACTTTGGAGGTGTAAACGTTGGGTTTTCACCGCAAAACTATTTCTTGTTGGCTCTTGTAACTTTTCCCTCTTCCCACTCTTTCACTGTGTGCTTCTCTCTCCACTTTTATTGTGTCTTTGTTGTCATGATTAGGGAGAAGCTGAAGTGGCTAAGGGGATCCACATCGAGTGAATTTCACCCATTGTCCACCAGGGTTGTGAGGTGTCATATCAAAAAGAAGCATTACTAATTATGCATTTTTTCTTGGTTCATCATTAGTTTCATGGAAATTCAAGAAGAAACAAACTGTTAGCAGATCATCTGCACATAATCAGAATACAGAGCATTTACGTCAACCACGAGGCACGCACAATGGTTATTATATTTACTGGCTGATTTAAAAATTCCTCAAACAATTTTTTGTTATTGTTTTTTCTGATAGATAACTGAACTTCAGTCACTAATCGAGAAATTTAGACAGTGTATATAGTTCGTAATGAAAAGTTTCGAATTAAATTTACAATTTTTCTATTAAAAACACGAGTGTAGCGTGTAAATTTTATTTAAATTTTAAATGAGTGAAGGCCATAAGTTTTATTTAAAGTTTTTATGGAGTGTTTTGCCACTTGATTTCGAATCTAGTTAGGCGTAGAAGTACTGCAGTTTCTGGATCTGCAACTTGGGTCGTGTCTTTGTTTGTGGGCGTGGTTGCCATCGAGTGTCAGTGTCGTGGCTTAGTTCGGAGTGGTTAGGCTGTGTGAAGGGCTTTATTTTAGTATATAGTGTGTTTAGTTTTTGTTCTATTTGTGTTGGTGTTTTTTTATCTCTCCAAAGTAGTATTCTCCACTTGTGGGAGCTTAGGTTACTACTATTATGGGTGTGTTTTGTTTGGTTGATTCTTAGGCTATAGGTCTTCGTTGAATTCAGTTGTATAGTTGTTTCTGTAAGTTAGTTAGCAGCTTGTAAAATATGTATTAATATTATTTGTTGTTTTGAAAAAGGAACGGTCAATTAACTTTAAATGCAAAAATTATCAAATGAAAATGAATTACTATTTAATAATCGAGACCCGCTCTCTCTAAAGCTTTTCGAGTTATGGAGTTGTTGGATCTGCGATTGATAGCTGAGGTCTTGTTCTTTTTTGTGCTCCCTCGTCATTTCGTTGGCTCGTGTGGTGGGTGTGCGGTGTACAAGCACGGAACTATATGGGGCCCAGGGCCCTCAATTTTTTCTAAAAATCAACATATATATATATATATATATTATATTTATATATGTATTATATATTATCAATATCTATATTTATATATATAAAGAAAAAATTATACAATATGTATAGATATGTAAAAAATATGCACAGCATATTAATAATTAAAATTATATTTTCTATGTTATTTTAATTTAAATTAATAGTATTATTTATTTATTGAAAAATGTACTAACAATCCTTATATTTTACATTTCTAGATAAATTTTTGAAAATGTTTATAATGTTTTACTCTTTTGGTCTCTTAATTGTAAATAGATTTAGTGAATTATAAAAACGAGTATTTAATTTGATAATTATATTTTTTAATGTTGATTTTTTTTTTTTTTTTTTTTTTGTGTAATCACATATTTTTAACTTCATTGTATTTCTTAAAAAAATGTTCGTTTGATAAGCTTTCGTCAACAAAAATGCTATGCAATATGCTACAAAAGTTCAATTTATATCAATCTTTTTAACCAAAAACACTTATTTTTTTCATAAATTATAATTGTTGAACTTAAATATAAATACATGAAATTTCATTTTTTTTTTTAAGTTTGAGGGTGATATAGATTCGAAGTTTTTAAAAACTTGATGATGCACATTTCGATATTTATATTTATAATAAATATATTTATATATGAAATGAGTGTTTTGACTTAATTTACAAGTTCATTATTTAACATTTAAAATCGGACCCCCCTGAAAAAAATTCCTAGATCCGTCACTGGCAGTGTGTGGTTTGTCGGAAGCCGAGGAGGGATTTAGTCCATTGTTAGTATTTGTTGTTTTTTTGTTGTTGTTGTTGTATTGTTTTGAGTTCTGTTTGTGTGGATCAATCTTCTGGTTTCTTGTTTCTAGTTTGTCGGTGCGGATATTAAAAGATTAGCGTAGTTCTGTTTGGTTCCATCATTGTACGAATTTGTTTTGTTTAGTTGTAGTTTGTGTGTTTTTGTTTGAAGGGGTTGCCTTAACAGTCAGGTTGGTTGTTCCTTGTTCAGTTTGGACCTAGACTTCTTGTTCAAATTTTGATGATGTGAGTTGACATCAGACTTTGTATTGTGTATATAGTCTCGTTTTTTAGTTTTAATAATATGCTATCGTCCANAAAAAAAAAAAAGAACTTGATGTAAAACTTTTGTGGATATTATGATTGCCCCAACGAATTGTTCTTCCCCATATTGAATGTGCCTTTATGTCATCATAAATTAAACTAAAACATAACTTCACCCATCAAATCCTCAAATTCAAACATCCACGACAAGACGTCACAATTTCATTTTTTCCGTTAGTGCCATTTCTTTTGTCCACAATGAGAGGACTAAATTCACCCTCATACAGCTCACCAAATGGTCAACCCTCGTGCCAATTTATTTTATATGAATTCACAAAATTATAGACCTCGACCGATTTGCAGCAACCCTCTTGTTGCTTGGTGATTTTAGACCAACTCCAACAGTATATCTATCAAACTCTCTATATTTATAAATAACATGATGATCGAATAACCTTGGGTAGTTATTTAACGAGGTACTTTCGTAAAATTTCTACTGTATTATTTCAAGGTGTCATCTTCTAGGTTTATCAAAGTGTGTTGTTTTTATTTGGGAAGATCAAATTCATACGCAGAATATCTCAATCGAGAAAATTTACACTCAATTTAACCATATATGTGTTAGATTATGAAAAACGTGAACTCCATAAGATTAATTTTCCAACTGAAATATATACTTATATTACCATATATCGTACTTCTATTTATAAAAAATTACATATTATAATATATTATGAATGCATATATCAATCTAATGCGAGTGTGTATTGATCAAGATATGTCTAATAATGCCGGTCATGTTTTAAAAATGTGCAGGGATAATTGAAAATAAAATGGATTTAGCTGAGTGGATATAAGTCATTTATTTGTTGTCCATATTGAAGTTTCACAAGTGTTGTAAATATAATTATAACATAAACATTACAAGGATATTGTGGTTTTGGTTGTCCAATATAGTGCGGGAATAATATTCGCGTGGGAAGAAACCTAAACATCACAATAAGCACATGAATATGCTACACATACAAGTTAAAATCACGTGATCCACAAAATTTTGGAACATATAAAAGTGTATTACATACTTTCTGAGTCTTGAAACATTATGAGATATCAGTACTTTGCCTAAATACGAAGAGAGCAATTAGAAACTTAGAATTCTTAATCAATAGGACTTTAGTTGATAGTAAAATGAAAATACAAAAGTATTTCTGAGCAAGCCCACGTTACTTCTCAAGTATATTCTCAACTCTTAAGTTAATATTAAATTAAAATATAGCAAACCCACGTTTTTCTGAAGATTCTTGACTCCCAAAATTTCATTAGTACAATATAGTTTTGCAGCAGGCTACCACTGTGCAGACAAGTGAAAACTACAATTGGGAATCTAATCTAATGGAGAGAAACATGTCTAATCCGAAAAATAGAGGTAGCTAGCCAATTGATTCGCTCGATTTTGGTAGTTCTTTTTATGCAGATTCCACATAATTACAAACATCACAATTAGATTAATAGAAATGTTAAATGATACTTCATTTAATCCCAATGAAAAAATCACATCTCAGCCAAATTCCGAGGTGGTCCCATGAAATCTTGTTCACAAAAACCATAGAATAGGCACTTTTGTTTTAATCTGGATAGCTCATATTTGGCATCATATTCCTCTTGCTAGTTTTCAAATGATATTTAATAGATCTAAAAGCATATGAATATGCAGTATGTTGCATCCTTGCATAGGTTACTACAAGAAAATGGCTAATTCTGCTATTATGTTGGAGAGAGAATGTGATTGCGCAAATAAATAAAAACAAAACACAAATAATGCCAATAATATGAAGGCAAATCCGATTTAGACCGATAAAGCAATTTGCATGAAACAACTCCCGATGGGGAAAGTCTTATGAGGAAAATGAAAAGATAACAAGCGTATTTTAAAATTTTAAACCTCAGGACAGTTAGTTTGAGCTCACCTGAGCTTGTGTAACAAATAACACTAGCACCTTTTTGCACCCAGTGCATATATAGCCCTAAGCATAGTAATTTAAGCTGGCTTTCTTTTTAGCTTGAACTTGTATAATGCCTTCATTGAAATCTTCATGGTTCACCTGCAAAACCAATAAGTATACATGTCTTAGTTTAACAAACCAAAACCAAATAATCAAATAAACATAAGACCTTAGCAAATTCAGTAAAGCGATATATATCTACCGAATTAACGGTGATATCTGAGCCCTGAGGTCTAATTTAATTACAAGACAAAACAAAAATGTTCACTTTCTCAACTAGACCGAGCAAATCAAACACAAAAATATTTACGTACTCGAATCCCACGACTGTAAAGACTAAATCATCTTCCGTTTTCTTTTCCATTAATTAGAGCAATAGTTAACAAAAAAATGAAAGAAAACGAAAACAAGGATTGGGGGAGAGAGAGTGAGACCTCTGTGGCATCTCGACGAAGAGCTAACATGCCTGCTTCAACACAAACAGCTTTAAGCTGTGCCCCATTGAAGTCATCTGTCGAGCGAGCAAGCTCCTCAAAGTTGACATCTGGGTGAACATTCATCTTTCTGGAGTGGATCTGGAAAAAAAAACGAAAGAGTGACAAAATAATAATAATAATTATAATAATAATAATAATAGGATGCTGCAAGGAGAAGATTTAAAAATGATAACAAGAAGCCTTCAAAACCAACCAGGCCATTATTAAGTCCCATACAAATCATCTGAAGTACATAAAAGTCTAAGAAAAAAGTTTCACCTGCAATATTCGAGCCCTAGCCTCCTCAGTAGGATGGGGAAACTCAATTTTACGATCCAGACGACCAGAACGCATTAAGGCAGGGTCTAAGATATCAGCTCGGTTTGTGGCTGCTATAACCTGCCCAAAGGAAACGGGTGTGGAACAACAAGAGAGGGTCACGAGATTGAAGAAAACGAAATTACCCATAAATTTATTCCTGGTTAGAGCCAAAGGCACAAAAAAAATGCAGCATGTAATTTTCCACTTAAAAGGTCAAAATAACACCAGAAAGGTACACATAATAAGAGGATCTTCATGCTGCAGAATATTATCAACGATCACTATCCAAACAATGGATAGACATTTTTTTCCCAGAAAAAGATACAACAGAAGAAGCAGACACGAACCTTAATTCGTTCATCACTGCTAAAACCATCAAGTTGATTAAGTAGTTCTAACATAGTCCTCTGCACCTCTCGATCCCCACTAACTTCACTGCACAATAGGAACATCATTGTCCATCAGCATTGACATAGTCAATAGTTTCCGTATACAATAACCAAGACTCCAATGGGATTAAATAAAAGTAACTAATAAGGGATTCGGAAATAACTGCACACCTATCAAAACGCTTTGTACCAATAGCATCAATTTCATCAATAAAAATGATGCAAGGAGATTTTTCTTTGGCAAGTTGAAAAGCGTCCCGGACCAGCTTTGCTCCATCACCAATGAACATCTAAATAATAAAATAGTTAGCATGAGAAACATTAACGGATGGAACCCACGTAAAGCAACTAAAAGAACCTTAAATAGCGAAAAGATACTTCACCGTACATGCGCTCAAAATAAAGCAGTTTCAAAGGTAAAACAATAAAAACATCCTGATTAAATATTCAGCACAGCAACATCAGGAAACAATTGGATCAATGTGAACCACTAAAACCTGTCACTGAACAAATGGGACTACACTAAAAGCTCAAGATACAAACAGCTCATATCTAGTCATCAGTAAATATCAACCTTAAATAACTCATGACTCGGACCAATGTCACACCAAATCGTCTATCCGTCAGTGTTTGATTCTGAAAATGTACCTAGTTCAACAATACTATCAAACTGTATAAAGTAAAATCTGCCACCTTTTGGTTTAGGAAATCAAATTGTTTATATAGGAACTCACAACATGAATATCAATAGAAAATCATGAGATCATGTAGACCTGATCATCCATTCAACCAGGCAACGGAAAAAAGAATCAGAATACTACACCTGTACAAGCTGTGGACCTGCTAGCTTCAGAAAAGTAGCATTTGTTTGGGCCGCACATGCGCGGGCCATTAGCGTTTTCCCTGTCCCAGGAGGCCCATATAAAAGGACTCCCTTAGGTGGACGAACTCCGAGTTTCTCAAATCTATCTTTGTGTGTCATAGGCAACACAATAGCTTCAACCAATTCTTGGATCTGTAGACATCACAAAAAAGTTGAAGAAAAAGTATATGTATCACAAAATATTGATATTAATTTATTATTGATTAATGTAAAGAAGATCAACTTGCCTGTTTCTCCAGTCCTCCAATATCATTGTAGTCTTCAGTAGGTTTCTCATCAACCTCCATAGCTTTGACACGAGAATCATACTCAGATGGCAAAGTATCCAAGATGAGATAACTGTCCTTGTTTACTCCAACCAAATCACCAGGCTTCAATATGTCAGGATCAACCAGACCCACTACGGGCAAGAAAATTGTCTGCCATTGACACGTGATACATTAATTGTCTCTTAGAAGGTGGATGAATAATCACAGGTTCGTACAGATCAGAAATACAATAACAAGGTACCAAAACTTGATATCATTAAACAAATACCTACATCAATATACAACTTCAGATTTTACTCCATACAATCAAGTCATCAAATACGCTCAATAAACTTGCAACCTTTAAACGAACAATGTGAAATGGCATTTTTTACTATTAATATTATTATTCATTAAAGGAATGCCAAGGAATCAAGATACAGATATGCACAAACGTTGGCACCTGACGTGTGGATGTTTTCAGCACAACACATTTGCCCTTCCTCTGTGAATCAAGATCAATATTTGCACCATCTTCTTCTGCATCTTCCTCTGGATTCATTTCTAGAATCTGGCAAATAAATAATAAGTCCAAGCTCATTATTTCCAACTCAAGACAGAATGACAGTTAGTGCCCAAATAAATTGAAAGTAATTAAAGTATATTATCAAAAGTTGAGTAGAAAGTCATAGACCAGATGTCATCGGTGCAAAATATTATTCCACTTACATACAAGGGAAAAAGACTCGTCCTGATGCATACCCTATACACCATTGCCTACTCCAACAGAAAGAATGCAACACACCCCCAGGCAGAATATTAAAAACAATTTCTTTTCATTTCTGCCACAATAAACTCTGCAGAAAACTCTCTTCTCATCACACACCATTACCCATGCCTTACACAAATGCAATTGTAAGACTGACGAGAGATTTATATAAATGCAGTCTACAACCAAGCACTAGCACCCCAATTATGGATAATAGGATGCAACCACATAGCCATTCAAAAACCAAAATCCACAAATCAAGTTGTAAAGATCTGTCCAGAAGCACATATGTATAAATAATCATCTCCCTGTTCGAAAAACTTAAACTATATTACTTCCCCTATTATCATAATTGCAAACCCTAGGCCCCTCAGGTCACTGTAAAAGAACATCCCTAACTCATTCAAATTTCCTTTCCTCACGCTCAAACAGCCAACTAAACTATAAATACCTCGACGATATTGCCGACCAAGTAAGGGAGCTGCTTATTCAGCTTGATTTTTTCTTGATTCTCTTTAATCTTCTCCTTGAATGAATCTACCTCGAGGTTCGTCCTCTGCAGCTCATCCTTCCAAAGGAGAAAAATTGGGGAAAAAAATAATAAATGTCACAACACAACCGCATCAAAATCGTTCAAAAATCATTTCGACATTGTTATTTTTCGCACGCAGTGGTTATTCAAAATAATGATAACTAAAAACCTTAAAAACTCGAACTTCGTTGTCGAGAAGACGAGATGCCCGAAGGATGTCGTCGGTGCTCATCGACGAGAACTGATCTTCCTCGTAGTCGTCTTCCACCATCGGCGTCGCCATTTTCTTCGCTCAACTACGTGTGAATGACTCGAGCTCCTTTCTGTTCTGGGTGGTGTGTGTGTGTGTGTGTGAGAGAGAGAGAGAGGCTTTCAAGTTTCAGCATAATCTAGTCTTCCTGACCAAGCAAGGGGTATTTCCATCATTTCACTTCGACGAACCGGCGGTTCACCTTTTTCTCTTGTTTTATTATTCTAAACTATCGACGATCCAGATTGCGTATGGCCGATGGTAATCAACGGTGAATTTGATTTAGCCGTTGGAGCTTGCCAAAGCTGGCGAAAAAATTCACCGTTTGTTATAGCCCTAAATAATAGCGCCGGAGGGCTTTCCTTCTTCACTTTTTCCGAGCTGCAAACATCTCTCACAATTTTTCTACTTTCTCAGGCTTCATTTTCAAAGTCTGGTTCTTTTGTTTTTTTCAATTTAGATTGTCAATGGCCGGTTCGAAGTCTAGTCGGAAAAGGACGATCGATTCCGGCGTCGATGGAGAAATCTCGACAAACTCATCTTCCAGAAGTAACATTGCTTTCATAAATGACAAATTCCGTGCTACTTCTGCCCAGAATCTTGCTAAACTTGTCGCGGCTGAGAATCTCCCTCTCGATTTTGGCGATAGGTCAACTTTTGAAGATTTTTGCGGTTCGTTAAATCCTGCCGCCAAACGTGTTCCGGCTGCTGTACTCACGCGCACGCTGAAAATATCATACCGAAAAAGCAAAAATGATCTGATCAAGGAATTGGCCAGAGTGAAAACTAAGGTTTCTATATCTGTTGAAATTTGGCGTGATTATTGGCAAGTGCATTCATATATATCTGTTGCTTGTCACTGGATAGATGATTCTTGGTCCATTCAGAAAAGATTGCTAGGGTTCAGGTTTTTCCAGGTAGAGCACACGGCTGAGAACATTTGCCGAACTGTATTATCAGTGTTGGAAGAGTACGGTGTAACCCTTAAGATTTTTTCGATATTGTTCGACACTATTGGCTCAGATGCTGCAAGCATTGAAGATTTGAAGCCCACATTTGAGTCGTCAATTGGTGGTAAAGTTTATCCTTTTATCAACGTAAGCCGTCTATTAAGTTTATGTGCACAAGATGGATTGAAGCATTTAGATCTTCAGCTCAAACCCATAAGGCAAACAATTGACTATTTGTGGTCAAACCCACAAGTCACAGAACAGTGGTACAAGTTTTGCAATACAAACCAAATGAAGCCAGAAAAATTTTCGCGATATGTCCCAGCCCGTTGGGATCTGACTTATTTTCTATTGCATAAGTTTATCGAGTACAAAGAGCTGTTGAGCAGATTTTTCACGGAGAATGTCAAGGAAATACACTTGCTTCCAAACAGATGGGTCGTGTGGGAAAAGGTTTGTGATGTTTTGAAAAGCTTCTATACTTGTGTTGAAGAAATTTCGAATGTTGATGAAAGCGGCGATTCGTTGTTATTCTGTTGTATTCACATTGCCACCACTTTGAATAAGTATTGCAATGACGAGGATCTAAAATGCTGTGTCGAGGCAATGAGATGCAGATGGGAAAAACATTGTCTAAACCTCCCACTGATTAATTTACTTGCTAATGTTTTTGACCCTTGGACTAGACTAGCCTCTCTAGGACATTACTTGACTATGTATTATGATCAGTTGATCCCTGTGAAGGACGAGCATTCACATTCACCTGATCCGACTCTTATTGCGGAAAGCGTTAGACAGCTCTTGGATAATTTTTACCAAGAGTACAAATCGAAGTACAGTGAAAATTTTACCGAACCCCAAGAGACTGGAGAGATTGGAGATAGGGGTCGTGGACCATTTGGTCGACTGAGTTTATGCGAACGTTTTAAGAAGGAAATAGTGGAAAGGAGAAGAAAAGAGAGGAAAGAGTTCCTAGAACGAGAACTCGAGAATTATCTACAAACTTGGGTGCCTGTTCAGAATATCCACAAACTTCAATGGTGGTCATCAAGCCAAGAAACGTTCCCAGTAATTTCGAGGATGGCAAAAGAGGTTCTCGCCTGCCCAGTCTCGACAGTGGCAATGGAGCGAGTGTTTAGTGCTGGAGGCAATATATTAAGCGAGGAACAATCAACTGTGCCTCCTGATTCCTTGGAGGCTCAGTTATGTCTGGGTGATTGGATTAGGGCTGCGAAGAAGACGAAAAATAGTCTGAATACGGATGAGGGGCAAAATGATGTGGATATGGAATCGGACGAAAGTGAATGAACCACACACCAGTTTCAGAAGGTAATGGTGGTTAGGGAAAGATAAGGGAATTGCATTGGTTTTGAATTTTGATTTCTCTGCAGCTTTAAGAGGATATGGTAGGCAGCTTATCTCTAAGTTAACGTCGTTTTTCCTACTATAGGTCGATGTTTTGAATGATTGGTCAGATGATGTTATTCAAGGATATACAGGCAGCTGATCCTTGAGTGTTTTTTAAATTCCATTTCCTACTTTTGTCAAGTTCAATTCTAATTCTTCTTCTTCTTCTTCTTCTTCTTCTTCTTCTTCTTTTTTTTTT